TTGCTCGTCCATTGAAGACACAACTTTGACTTCTCTTCTTCCTAGATAGCTAAAAATCCCTTCATACCATCCAAAAGATATTTCGCGACTTACTCTTTCTGTGTGGTCAAAATAATCTTCATCGTCGTCATAATGGTTCAGGCTATAATTCTTAAAGTCGTTAATCCCATCGTGAAGTAGAAGCAATCTATTGTGCTTAACTATCGCCAGCTGTATGGGTATTAAACAGCAAAGCTATTTATAATATTTTGTTTAGTTAATAAATGGTTTTGCATTTGACGAAAATTTTTACTTTGCTTGATTACCTGAATTATCCATTCTCCGAATTGAATATTTGTTGAGTAATCTTGTATAACCATAGAATCAGGTAAATCTTGATAACTTCTAACATCAACACTAAACTTGTTTAACAATTTGGCCGGCTTTTGTGTTTTCTCCTTTATTTTTTTGCACATTTCATTGATGTAATATTGGAATCTCTCATTTAATTCATGGATTTTTTCCGAGTTAGTGTTATCGGTAAAGGTTTCCAAGAATATTAACAATCGTGGAGATTTGTTAATGCCGGAAACAATGCAGGGATTAATTGGAAATCTTTCAAATACATCAGAATAGACATTAATCAGAATATTCGAACTTGGCCTTGCTTCAGTTTTGAATGGTAACCATGAATTGTTATTCACTGAAAATGAAAATCGACTATCTATTCTTAACCGAGTATCGCTAATTATTTCTATAACCGTCTTTTTTTCATCCTTGATAATCACAAAATCTCCAATCTTAAAATCACGCAGAAAATTTGTTTCTTTTCCGATCACTTCGAAAGGCTTTTCGTCCAGAATTTTGACAATTCCGAGGGGCGATTTTGCATTTTCTTTCCGAAACCTCTTCTCACGCTTTTCGATAGATTTATTTACCAAGAAGGATTTATAGCATTCCAAATTCGCAAAACTCAGATGAACTTGTTCGTCGCAAAGAAGAGAGAATTGACAATACCTCGCTTCGTAAGGGCTTAATGAAATTTCTATGCGAGAGAAATCTCCATAAATTAAATTATAATAATATTTTTAATTCGATAAATTATATCAAACCTATTTGTGCCATTGATTCAAATTTAGGTGCAAAATAAATGTGGGCTTTTGTAGCATAATCAGATTCGCTTACAAGTGCCACAATGCACCGACCACTTGGTGAACTTAAAACATTAATTACTCCTTGCGGCAGTTCTATAGTCTTCGGGTGAAATTGTCTTGTTAAGAGCCTGAATATTCTGGCAATTCCACATTTTTCAACGAAACACAAATCTTTTGTGCTCTGAAGAAAAAACATCTTAGCAATATCAGATTTATTAACGTTTATTTCATCGACCCGATAAAGAAAGTATACTGCAAACGGATTCTCTTCAAATTCATAAATAAACAACTAATAAAAAACGAGAAAAGGAAATTATTTAAGTATGGATGATGAAAAGTTTAATTATAATTAACAGAATGCAATAATTTCTTACGGAGGCAGTTTTTGTTTCATATAACGCTATGAATCTTAGGGTTTCGTCGACAGCTATCAAATTATCTTCTTTAATGCCCGGAAATATCTTGCACGGTTGCTTTGAGATGGAATCGACATAAAACTCAAGGCATGAATTTTCTTTGTTCCAAAAAAAAAAAAAAAGAGCTCGACTCTTAAGCTGGAAAATATATCTATTATATTATCATTGTATCATTAGACTATAATATATTGAATAAGATATTAAGCAATAGATTTTTCTACAGTACCTTAGTATCTTAAGAGCTGAGTCAATATGAAGATTCATTCTTTTCTTTTGAATCAAAGTTGGAACATAATATGGATCTTTCGATACATTTTCGGCTTGAATAGCATCCATGCGTGTTTCGTAAATTCCGATTTCAACTGGAGAAGTTATTTGACGCGTACATGTATATTTTATAGTATATGATTTCCTTCCTAAATATGAAGCTTAATAAACAAAGAGTAAGTAGCTTGTGATGAAAAGGATAATGGCAAATTCTAGTACATTATGAATCTTACATTTTTCGTGAAACTCATCGATTACTAACGAGTCGTTGCTGCTAATTTATACGAAATTACTTTCGGTGCCATATGTATTACAGTATAGTATATAAAATATGTACAATGCACTTTACCTATTAGAGCTATATGTTTGCTGAATTTCGTCTCGTATTTTTTTAATGTAATTCACTTCGATTTCATTTTCCTTTTTAACAAACTCCATTTGGAGAGTCTCCAATAAATTATTAACTTTCAGAGAGTTACTTATGTGTTTCTGTAACGAAGATACATCACACAACTTGTCTCTCCAAGTAGTGTACTCATTGATGAACAAGGAAATTATATTGTTTCTTGTTTCGGAATTGTTACCCGTATTTAAAATTTCTTGCACGAATTGTTGGTCAGTAACGTCTGGAATTTTCTTCGATACCTCTTCGTAATGTAAATCGAGTATGTCGGCATCGATATATTTTTTTACATATTTTTTTAATTTCTGCTTAATCGATTCTTTTTTAAAATCTTTTGTATAATTGTAAGTAAAAATTTCTTCATCTTCAACAATTGATTTATGTTTTTTAATAAGATATTGACTGACCAAGTAACGTTCTTTGAGGAGCTTCCAATTTTCCGTATTTATAACGTCCAGTCGTAAATTAGAAATTACATCGGGATAACTATTATCAATTCTGACAACATCTATACAAAAATAAATGATGGAGTTTAGTACTGCTATATACTGTAGTATCGTATACTGTAGTATCGTGTACTGTATGTATCTAAATTTGCACCTTCTTGATTAGATTCATCCTCTGATGTTTTTTCGAGTAACCTAATATAAAAGCATTGATTAGAAGTTATGGAGAACATTAAAACGTTCAACACGTACCAATACATGTTTTTTATCCGATATCTAAGCAAAGAGGAAAGAAGAGTGGAATCAACCACAAGAATATCCTCATTTTTTTGTTTTTCTTCCTCTCTATCTTTACGAGTCGCACTTATTTCGTTATTATATGATTTAATAAATTCACTTCCTACAGACAAAACCCGAGCTAAATTTATTAAAGTTTTTAAACCAATAGAAGGGCTGACTCTTAAATTAGTATCTTTAAATGCGTTGAGAACTTGATCAGAACTCTTGTCTATTAATTTATATTCTTCAGTCAATTTAATGGGTTCAACCGTACGACAAATAATAAACGATTGATTGTAGCATGACTCTATCGGCATAACAGGAGGAGGGTATGAATCCAGAGTCAACTTTTCTTTAGAATTTCCATCCTTAATATTAAGCTTATAAAAAGAATTACTCATTATGATTGTTTCACATATAATAATGCACTATTTCAAAAATTAAATTTGTACTTTAAATCCTGTATGAACGATGAAATCTTTTTCGTCTTGGATTTTTTCTTCGACCTCATATTCGTCTATAATTGAGTCATCATCATTGGCACCCTTACACTTGTCAAAAAAATCAAAATCGAAAATCATCAGATCTTGTGTATTCATTAAACAAAACACAGCGTCCGTTAGTTTTGTGAGGTATCTATAATTAAGCAATGACTTATTATAAATTTTATAAAAATCCATAAAAACTTGATTTCATTAAACTTTTGGCTGACCGGTGAAGAGTCACAAGATTACTCTTTGCTTTAGATGAGGTGTTATTATCATAGCAATTTTTTTCGGGCCAATGGATGATAAAACCATGTTCTTTTTCAATCAGAAGATAAATTCCAGGTTTAAGGTGAGGTTCGATTATCTCTGTATTGTTGTCACTTATTTGAGGTTTTACGAGAAGATTATAACTAAATAAATAAAGACAAATTATTAAATGAATAGTACATTAATTGTTCATTCAAAGCTAGAAAAAAAAAAAGGAAAGCACTACTAACATTTCTTCATCTATTACATTCTTTTGTAAAAAATATCTTGCAATAACTTCGTATCTTCCATAAATTCCTATAAATCCAAGTGACTTTGTGTTCAAAGAAGCGTAATCAACCTTGGAGATTGATTCATAACTACCCGGAATCATATCATTACAAAGCTTCTTTAAGAATTCTTGCGAAACAATAATATTTTCAACAGCTACAGTAAATAACAAAGGAATTATTGAATGTGTTCTAATAACAATGAACGTAAATTAAAGCCTCACCAAATTCAGTAGACTCCGTGTCTACGCAAAAATCAAGCAGAGGATAAAAATTGGGAATTTTATTACAAAGGTCCACAGGATCATTTGCGCCTTCAACAAAATTAGAACTCTCTAACTCATTAAAATGATCATTGGAGTTTTCGGTACACTTAATTGGATCGAACTTAGGGATTACGTCATTCTCGCAGTCATTTTCTAAGTTGCTGTAAACATTATCAGAATATTCTATATTGTTCACATGACCAGAATCAATGTTTGTGTCATTTTGGTCAGTAGATGCGGAGTTAATATGTATATATTATAATAAATAGCTAAGACTTTTCACTCAAAGATACAATTTCTCATCCTAAATAAGTGTACTTACCAGGACTTTGATCGCCTATAGAGCTCGGGATACTTGTTGGATCTGTTAAAGTTTAAAATAAAACTGTTATTAAAATATCTGCTGGGTGCACGATCAATTCATGGCCAGCGTAAATTCATAAAATAATTTATAAAACCACAGTAGAATATCTCATTCACAAGACACGGTACTAATTAGAACTATTTTATATCTTCTCGAAATTATTTTTTGGTTCTATCTTTCCCTGCGTTATTCTCCCTACGACTACTCATGTTCGTAAAAAAGCAACGAACCTGTATTTGAATAAGCTTTTTCTTCCATATTTTATTATTGTTCTAAATTACGATTGAAAGAAAATTTTGAACCATTCGGTATCTCATTTATATATGTTCGTGTAAAATAAATAACGTACAGTGTTGTGCATCCAAATTTGGAATTAATGAACTTTAATTTTTTTGTCAGCGCAGATATCATATAACACAACAAGCAGATGCAGTACTGTACTAATTTTGGAATAATAAAACTTTGATTTTTAATCAAAGCCAATGTTGCTACAGTACAATAAAACCGGCTTTATCCAGACTATATAATTTTTGTTTCTTTCTAAACATGGAAAAAATGGGAAACCTTTGCCTGCGAATTGAGATTAAGATTAGTAACCAAAAATTAAAAGCAGAATCAATGAGTTTAAAAGTCAAGCTGCTTAATCTTTTAATATTGTACCTAAAGAGTTTGCAGAAATATGGTTATTAAACTACTCATAGAGCAAAATTAAAATCAATATCATAGCTTAGGTAAACTTGTTTTTAAAATGACTAAATTTTACTTACAGTAAATAATTAATAGTGTCACGAGCCAATGATGCTTCGCGTCATGTAGTTTTAGTTCATACTATAATGGCTAAATTTTCTGGCAGCGACCAAATGTAAAGACCTGTTTGTTGATGGAATATGCATGTAAGTCATTATCTTATTGTACAGAGTTGTTTTTGACGATCAGGTTTTCGCTCATTTTAACTTTTGGTTTAAAAAGTCATTGTGGACTTGTAAAAGAACAATAAATAATGCAATTTTATTTATTATTATAAATCAAATTAAAACTTAAAAATAACCATCAAATCACAAACTATATATGCAGTGTCGGGTCTGGGTTTACGACACGATCAGAGCACAATCCTCGACCTCACGGTCCTTTCGAGTAAGGATGTAAGGTGGAAAAAAGGCATATATTTGGTGAGTTTATGTTATTTAAGAAATATATTGTAGTTTTATTTATTTTCCTCTTTCTCTTTTACATCATAAATTAAATACATTCTTACATTCTACATATCGATAAAAGAAATATCATAAATAATCAATGTAAAACATATAAAGAGATAATAAAAATAACAACGCCGATGATTCATTATATTTTTTGGTAATCTCCTTATCACACAATCGTTGAGACATCATTTAAAGTCACTAGTGTCAACCACTGTTCACTGTAGCACCTGTATATAGAAACTTAAAGTAAAAATTGAAAAAAAATAATACAAAGTTTAATAAATAAAAATTAAACTAAATAATAAATAAGACAAAGAAATATAAAAAGACAATTAAAAATAACAATGAATAAAATTTGTATTAAAAATAAAACAAAAAAAAATTATTAAAAATTAATCAGAGAATTAAATTTTATTATTATTGTTATTTTTTTAATATTTTATAGATAAATATTATTACTTTATTAACAATAAAATTATATAGAATTTCTTTATTGAATATATTATTTTTTTAATAATGTAGTAGCAATATAGTAGCAATATAGTTTTGATGTAAATTTTTTTAAAGGTAGTAGCATAGTAGTAGCAATTTAAATATAATTCTATTACTATATTGCAATATACAGTAATAGTAATGATACAGAAATAAAGCAGTTACAATTACAATAACTATTTTATAACAATTTATTAATATATTAATGATGTAAAAATTATTTGAATAATATTAAAGCAATTAAAATATGGCTTCTATTTATATTAGCAATATAAAAACAATATAGTAACAATATAATAACAATGCAGTAGTAATATACAGTAGTAGTAATTTATTACAGTAAAATTCAGTAGCATAATAACTAACATTATTACAAATGCATTATTATTATTATTTTAACTATTAAATAATAATTAAGTAATAATTAAATAGTAAAATTTATAAAAAATTATTATTTTTAGCAAACATAAAAATAATGTAATAAAAATATAATGACTTTATAAAAATAATATAATAGTAATTTAGTAGCAATAAAATATAATAATATAGTAATTAACATTATTGTAACTATTCTTTTATTGTTCTTTATCTATTAGACAACAACTATATAATAATTGGGTAATTATTTTTAGAAATTTTCTGGCATAATTCTAAAATTTATATTATATATGAATTGTTTAAAAGTTGGGTTCAAAAAAAAAATCATATCTAGCATTTTTGTTGCCTTCAAAAATAATTATCCAATTAAGTGATAATATTTATAAAAAAATTGGTATATTCAGTAAAATTACATATAAAGAAAATAATATTTCTAATATTATATACTGAGTTAATAAGTTTAATATTAACTTGTATATATCAACTATTAAAGTCATAAAGAAAAATAAATATTAAACCAATACATTGAAAATAATATCAAGCAGTTATAGATATTTAATCAATAAATATTGAAAACATTAATAGTGCTTTGTTATTAAATTTTTAAAATTTAATAAGATATTATACTTGATATTTATAAATTTATTTGTTATAAAAGATAAAAAATCTATATTAAAATCATTTTTTAATATTAAATTTTTCTATAATATTGAATTTATATTTGTAATAATCTTGCATCATGAAACCTACACTGTACTTAGCAATTCAGATGTCTTAAAATATATCTGATCTGTTTTTTTTTTTTTTTTAAGTAGGTAAACATCATTTCTTTATTTATTCGTATATTAAAGAGTATATATTTAAAAAGAAACAACATCTCTCATATGCGATTTGCAGTAAGTTTAATGCTAGCCTGCCTATAATAATTATTTAACTTCTACTAGAAAAGATATTTTAAAACTAGTATATTAATCAAATGATGCCGGATAGCTATGTATGACTACTCAGAGCTATTTTGAGTAATATAATTATGATAATTTGAAATAAGATTAGAAATATATAATGAAAAGTTAAGATTGTATTGGATAAATATTTCTGCAACTAATGTAGGAATATCAACTGTTGTATTGCAGTTTTGAAGATTTGAACTAGTATCGATGTAAGAAGTGGAATTGGTTTTTGAGGTGCTTGCATTGGGAAAGTGATTATTTTTGCTACTATTGCTGATTTTGTTACTGTTTGTTTTTTTTGTTTTTATTGTTTTGTTCCATTTGATACCAGTAGATAATTAATTATTTGCTATGCTACCACAAAGTTTCCATGTAAGATTGTAGAACATTGTAAGAGCTTAGTGAATGATTTGATCCAGTTGTAAATATTGGCTATAGAGAATATATTTGCAATGATTCTACATATTAATTCCACTATTTGTCATGTGTTGAAGATTAGGTGGTTACTGTTGTCTGGATTATACATGTTGCTGAAATTCATAGATTTTTGATGCAATTATTTGACATAATTAATTAAGTCATTATTAAAACATATAAATAATTGAGTCATGACACAATTATTTTTGAGGATTTTGGGAATTGAGTCAACAGCAAATAATTTATACCACATGTATAGTCTGAATATAGAATTGCATTAATTGAGTTAATAATTTGCTTGGCTTCTTCTTTTGCTTCAGAACACTCGAGAATATAAAAGATGGTTTTTTATTGAAAACTGCATCTGGGACAGTATAGGTTCTTGTAATATTTAGGGTATAGGTTGTAGAGAAATTTTCGTATAGAAAGAGTATACAAAAGTAATTTGATTCTAAATACTATCAGACCACTGTAACTGTTATTATAAAGTTCTTTTATATGTTTGTTAAATAAGTTAATTATTTTGAGGTCAATAGTGTTATGAGATTGATTAAGTGTTTTAAATACAAAGGAACTCTTGTATATTATATAGGATCTGATAATGCTAAAAATTTTCTTGCTCTATCTTGAGCAGCTTCCCAAATCTATATAGTTTATGGTATGATTCTCTGTGAAATGTAGAGGTGAATTGTTTTATTGTATGTTATTAATAGTCTTTGAATTGGATTTAGGTTTGACAAGATTGAGAATAATAGATTTTTGTATTATCCTATATTTAATTCTTGATATTAAGACAGCAAAGTTAATTTTTGTTTGTTTTCTAGAAAAGCTAAGAGGGTTTGAATAATGTTTTTGTTGTTTTTAATTTTGATTGTATACTGAATAGGGTACCATTGCAGGATTTCATAAATAATATGAAACATATTATCTGTTAGTAGTTCTGGATTTGTCATTGTGATTTTGGTGTTATTGACTACTATATTTTATTTGACAAGTTTAATATAATATAAGTTGCAAAGGCCAATTGCTTGAAATAGTGAGAGAGATAGAGTGAAGTAGATATAATATTTACTGAATGGAAAGCAAGTTCATCTTTGAATGAAGAGATTGCTAGTTCTTTTATAATGTTATACAGGTAATGCTTGAAGTTAGATGAGATTTTATTGATTGTTCAAAGTAAGGAAGCATTAATACTGTTGTTGAAAGGTTGACCTAATGAACAGGAAATTTTGATTCATTTAAATCTTCATTAGACTTGTTACTAGAGTCAACAGCCATGGCACTTGATAAGGTTGTTGCTCAAGTCTATTGTATAATGTCTGCCTTTTAGGAGTATTTTCTTATGTATGTCTGAATGTTTTCTATATGTTTTAATGAAAGAATTGGTATTGTAAAGAAACCAAGTTATTTTAAATTTGGAATAAACCTATGAGATCTCAAGAGATTGTTGTTGTTATTGAAGTTTTTTTAACCGAATTGGTTCTTATTACACTATGCAATGTCAATATAGGAGATAATTTGTGACTAGGATAGTTTGAGTAAACTATTGAATTATATAAGTTGAGTAATGAATTTAATATTAAAATCATTTGACATGTTTATTGCTAATTCTCTAAGTTGAGATGACATGTTTTTGAACAGGTGATCAATACTGTTATAGGTATTTTTGAGGTTAAATGAACAGTTTGGAGAACAAATCTGAATTTTTAAGTTTTTTGCAGCTTTGGCTGCATATAGAATCCAGTTGTTTTAGTTGAATTTGTCTGGCTTACAAATTGAACAGAACCAGATTGTCTCCTTTTTCTGAATGGATTGAATAGTT